ATGTTCCACCAATGAGTTTGTTCACAGGGGGTGGAGTGTGTAGGGGATGTCCTGATTTGTGTGTAAGGAATGCATTGGGTGAATCTGTGTTTGTATGTGTAAGGGCTGCAAGGTGTGTTTCTCTGTATGTAAGGGATGAAGTGTGTGAGTCTGTAAGGGGTGCTTTGAGTGTGTTTAAGGGGTGCATTGAGTGTGTGTAAGGAATGCATTGTGTGTTTCTGTGTGTGTAAGGGATGCATTGTTTGTAAGGCTTGCATTGCGTGTGTGTGTGTGTGTGTGTGTAATGCATTGTGTGTGTAATGCATTGTGTGTTTTTCTGTGTGCAAGGGGTTCATTGTCTTTGTGTGTGATTGTGTGTGTGTGATGGATGTCAATCTCTCCCCCCTCCCTTGTCACTCTCTTCTCCCCCTCCCTTGTTACTCTCATTCCCCCTCCCCTGTCACTCCCCCTCCCTGTCAATGTCTTCCCCCCTCCCTGTTAGTTTCTTTCTCCCCCCCCTCCCTCCCTGTTTCTTTCTCCCTCCATCCCTCCCTGTTTCTTTCTCCCCCCTCCCTCCCTGTTTCTTTCTCCCTCCCTCTTTCTTCCCCCTCCTCCCCCTCCTCCCCTACCTGTGCTGTAGCGTGGCCGAGCCCAGTATAGTCGGCGGGTACAGGTAGCTTTTGTTTCCTGTACCCGGCCGGACTAACAGGAAGTGCACACACTGTGTGCACTTCCTGCTAGTCCGGCCAGGTACAGGAGACAGATGCTCCCTGTACCCGCCGACTATACAGGGCTCGGCCACGCTACTACAGAGGGAGTGACAGGAGGGAGCGCTGAGCGTTTCCCTCCTGTCAGCCCCTCTCCCCATGCTGCGCCCGGGCGGTGCGGTCCGCCCTCATGGACGCACCGCCCGGGCAAAGCTGCAGCCGCCTGAGGCTCTCTACAGAGCGCTCGGGCGGCTGCAGCATGAGCGGGGCCGGCGCTCCTGGTGGCGCCCCCTCCCAAGGGGCGCCCTAGGCGGCTGCCTAGTCCGCCTTACAGGTAGCGCCGGCCCTGTGTACAATACAGGACTGACATATGAGCTCCATTAGCACTCAATAAAAAAATAATAAGCTGCCTGTGACTTATCTAACCTGAGGCTCTTACATATGACCTACATCCCTTAGTTCATCAGAAGGTCTTCAATGTCCGCGACGAAGCAGCAGAAACACTCCATGACCCATTAAACCTGGGCTTTTGGTGTTCCTTGAAAACCAATGTTCTATAACAAAGATGTCGTGAAATGAGGCCTCTAGTGAAAAACCGAAATATTCTTGTTAGGTCCCCTGCCTGTGTTCTGTGAGCGTCGGCGCCTGGCGGCCACACGCCACTTGCAGCAGCTTCATAGCCTCACAGCAAATCTTCACATTTCCACCTACTGCGAGCGGATGCTTCCAGCGCCCGCGCGCCACTCACGGGTGTATCAATACCCCCCAGTAGCCTTGCAGCGTGTTTAAATAGGCGCCCGAGTCAGTCACCTGACTCTGAGCGCAATAGTGAAAGGTACAGGGATCAGGGATCTCCTACATGTGATAGTTAATTCCAATTGGAGATAGGCCAATCAGAATCACCCTAACCCTATTTAAACTTACCTCTTTCTTACCTTGTTGCCCTGTTGTGGTTTTCTGTTAGCCCAATAGCGCGATATACTTTGATTGATTACTGGTTACCGGACTTTAGCTTTGTTTCTCATTTACTCTGTCTTCTGTGATCCTTGACCTCGGCTTGTTCTATCGTGTTCCATATCTCCGTTATCCTTGACCTTTGCTTGTACGCTGACTACTCTTTCTCTCTGCATAGCCTGGACACTCTAAGGACTGGTATTGCAATCCTGTCTGTCGTGATCTATGTGTGTGTTAGGTTCCCAGGAAACCGTGACAATTCTATTACATTTGAGTCTTAGATTTAACTGTCTGCAAAAAAAAATAAAAAAAAAATTTAAATTCTGACATATGTATTAAAGTGTTTTTAAAGTCATTGAAAAAGTTTTTTTATTTCTGTAGTAAATTCCACCCATTTTCACAGACATTTCTAGTTTAGAAAACCACTAAATATAGAATGGCACTAAAAAGAGTAGTAAAACAAAACACTGTTCTGTCAGGAAAAGGGGCAGAAATATTGATAAATCTGTTGTGTTGCCAAAAAAATTGTAAATTCAAAAATTATGGTTAAGGAGCAAATGATGCAATGGATGAAAAAGTCCAATACAATTAATGAACTGCACAGAAAATTGGTTGTAAAAGTTCAGTGACATTTTGATAAATCTCCCCATTTGTATCCAAAGGTCTCCTCCAGATAATGCTGTCTCCCTTATTTATTTCTACCTAGTGGCTGAAAGTAATGGACCCTTTTAACTTTTTTATGAACAGATGGGTACATTAGCTGAAGTTTGCTTTAATTCCCCACCATTGGACAGAATCCTTTATCTAACAAACCAAGGTTTCACTGTCAAGAACTAGCATTCAAATTGTTTACTTGTAGTACAGAATGCAATGTCAATGTTGTTTTCTAATTACATCCCCTACCAATGTCCAGTTTCTCATTAGTACTGTTTCCTTTAAAACAAATAAATAGCTATCATGTCAAGAGAGAAGGAACCAACATTTGTTATCTTGAAATATGTCCTGACATTTAACAGGGCCCAACAAGGCTTCTAATCTTAAGATGAACTCACAAATCTTTAGATCCTACCAATAACCATGAAAAACCGAATTGAAGGAAAACCTCCCTCATGTTAAATTGTCTATTCCCAATGCTATCATATTTGAAATGCAGTTAGAATTTATTTCTGTGAATTGATATGTCCATTAATGAATATATTATTATAAATTAAAGTTTTAAAACATTTATTTTTTTTCCCCTCAGAAATATGCATGGAAATACAAAGAGTGAAAAATGTTGAACCTGAACGAGGTCACGGTTTACCTTGAATGAAGAAATGACAGACTACACACCTGGGAAATTGCCTTGTAGATTAAATGGGAAGAAGCTGAAATTGCCATAATGCAGATGGGAAGTCTATGACCAAAAAAAAAATGCAACATCTATCACAGTTATGGTGATCAAAAAGGTGTCACTCGATGCATAGCAATGAATATGTGTCAATGTCAGTAATCACAATAATAATTAAAGTGTTTCACCAGGAAGGTAAAAATTTTTTTCTGAATTTAGAAGTATTTTGTTATGCATCTCAATAGTACTCATTTTATTGACCAGAAGGTTAAGTTGATTGCTTGGTTGCTAGGAAACAAAATTGCATTTATTAGGCTGGAATAAGTACTACAGTATTTCAAACAAGGCATTAAACAATGCTTTGTGTACAGAATCAGATTTTTCATATTGCCAGGTAATTGCTCTAATGCTTACGCAATGCTCTTCAAACAACATCAACTTTTACTTCTTAGTTTTTGCTATTCAGATCCTGATGGGACAGGGTGATCAGATCCACATGTTTTCTGCACATATATCATATGTACATATTGATAAGCAGCATATAAAAAGTGTAGCCCTGTACTATGTAGAATTCAGAAGAAGGTGTCTAAGTTTAAGCAATTAGGCAATGAAGAATCCTACAAAATATGCACTATACATACTGCAGGGTACCCATTGCCATGCATTTTCATAAATGTGACACAATTAAATATGTGTCCCTGTTAACATGGTGGATCTGGTCACCTTGTGATGGGCTCATGGCTCAACCCCTTGCTACACTGTATAGTGAGGTGATTATTTAGAGAGAAATTGGATAGGGTGGACTGTACACTATGGAATTAAAACTATTACCAGATACACTTAACATTAATAGTATAATTTGCAGGACATACATATTTCAGGGCAAAACTGGAGTAATTCTAAGGCAAATTTCTGAATTTCAAGAAATCAGCTGGCACACTTCATTAGTTGCTAAAGTGACTGCTCTGTATTTAACACTTTGCTCCAGGATTGTTTAACTTTCATGCTGACAAAGATGGCACTCATTTTTTCAGTCCAAGGTTTGAAAGTTAAATGCAACATCCAGAATGGATTTATAAATACATAAATATGTAACATATTTAATGGGGTAGAAACAGCCTTTCTATTAGAATATATGAATATTGGCACTATAACATTCAGCTACTAGCTGCTGATATTATCATTAAAAGCAAATGTCTCTCACATGAGAACTTGTGAGGCCCAGGTCTTCACCCAAATAGACAATCTCCCTTTCCAAACTGAAGGTGCATAATATATATTTTATTGTACATTATATCACTGACACTTAAGGTACACTTACACTTCTGTTTTTAATGTTTCTCCTAGATTGGCTGGCTGCAAATAATATGGTTGGAAAAATATCCAAGTTCCATTTTTTTTCCAATTTGACAATTTGTATTATTTTTGGGGTAAAGGATGAGGGGGTAAAATGCATAAAATGTATACAATACTGTCATCTCACCAGTGCAGATTGCATTACATCAAGTACGGTATACCTTAAGATCACAAACATCAATATGCAAACAATATACCTTGTACATTGTGTTTCAAGCAGTTCCCCTAGGTCATTAGATAACCAACCTATTTTCCTCCATTGTGGTTCAGTGTGTCTCATCTGCTATTAAGGTCTATGGTGGTAGAACTTTGTAATATATAGGGTGGGCAGCTGCTCAGGTTATCCTTCTAATGTATGTACCCCTGTTTCCTTGATTGAAGTCAAGGCTGTTGGTATTTGGGTGTTGTGATGGCTCCCATGAATCATAGCTGTGTTCCACGGGAATCTCGTGTCACGGGCCTGGGATGGGGTTTGGAAAGGGGTGCAGGTGTGGTATGCACACTTTCAGAAAGAGCCCTCCCCTCTTCAGCATGTAGGTATACATAATGATGTAGGTTGGTTTTACCAAGGGGGTCTGTGGGCGCTGGGTGGACAGAATCAACATTTTTTCTTTTCTTTTTTATATCGAGGTTAAAACATGAGGGTACAGAAAGTAAAAGGGGGTCATTAGGGGGGAATGGTCATCCAGTGTTGGCATGGGATTGTGTATAGCATATGTGACACTTGTAGAAAACAAACAACTTATGCATGCAGAGAGTAGGGTCATACCATGCTCGTGAAACCATGTGGGTTATTAAGCGTACATGTCGGTTTACAGGGTGGATCCCAGCTTTTCCCCACAGTCTTGGTGTTTGTCGTGGGTCTACCCATGTTCAGTCGGTCCCCCCCTCTGCAGTTGTCTTTTATGTTAATCTCCAGTTATTAAATGAGGTAAGGGTGAAAGGTGTGGGGGGCAAGTATCACAGCTGGTAGTCATGGATGTATGCCACTCTGCAGGGCCGCCATCAGGGCGTAACGGTTGTCATGGGCCCAGAGGTCCTGGGGGGCCCGAACTGCTCAGGTCGTCCAGGCCCCACATTCAGTGGGTACATACCGGGGTCGCAGGGGGCCCTGCGACCCCGGTATGTACCCACTGGGCCAGCCTCTTCTCCTGGGGGGGCCCAGCAGCCAGTCACCTCAGGGCCCCTTAGAGGCTGGCCCTGCTGACACCCGGCGTGCGCGCAAGGGAGCACTCTCCTCTGTGTGCTTCCTCTTCAGCTCTCATACCGCATTGATGCCGTCGGAGCCGAAATGATGACGCCATCTTCCACAGTAACAAGCGAGGGAGCTGGCGAGGAAGTAACAATAGAGGAGAGTGCTCCTCGCACGCTCACGGGTGTCAGGGGGAGAGGAAGGAACTTTGAGGGGGGAGGAAGGAAGGAAACCTGAGGGGGGGAGGGAAGGGAGGAAATTTGAGGGAGTGGGGGGGAGAGGGAGGGAAGGGAGGAAATTTGAGGGAGGGGAGGGAGAGGAAGGAAATTTGAGGGGGGAAGAGGAAGGAAATTTGAGGGGGGGAGAGGAAGGAAGGAAACGGAGGGGGAAAGGAAGAAATTCTGAGGGAGGGAGAGGGAAGCTGAAATTTGAGGGAGGGGAGGGAGAGGGAAGGACATTTGAGGGGAGAGGACCTGAAACTAGAGGGAGTGGAGGGAGAGGAAGGAATTTGAGGGGGGGAGAGAAGAAATTTGAGGATGGGAGAGGAAGAAATTTGAGGGAGGGAGGCAGGAAAGAAAATTTGGAGAGGGGGGAGAGGAAGGGAAATTTAAGGGGGGTAGTGGAGATGAAATTGAGGGGGAGGAGGAAGGAAATTGGAGGGGGGAGAAGGAAATTGAGGGGAGAAGAAGTAAATTGAGAGAGGGAGGGAGGGGGAGAAGAAGGAAATTGAGGGGGGGAGAAGGAACTGGATCTGGGAGGGGGAGAGATTGACATCCATCACACCAGGCCGGGACTGGCCATCAGGCATACCGGGCAAATGCCCGGTGGGCCGCGGTGGCCGTGGGGCCGAGGCCGGCAGGGGAGATCACAGGATCTCCCCGGCCGGCCCCTGCAGGGCCAGCGCTACCCGAGCGCCGGCCCTGCTGTATGCCTTCATGGGCCGGTGGGGAGATCAGACAGAGAGATGCAGCCGCCAGCAGGAGAGGGAGTGAGGTATGGAGGCAGGAGAGGACCGGCGGAGCTCTAACCAGCAGCTCCGCCAGTTCCTCTTGCGGGATTCTGAGCGTTGCCGCGGTTACCGTGGCAACGCTCAGATCTCGCGAGAGTGGACTCTAACCCGCAGGTTAGAGTTCACTCTCACCACTGGACCACCAGGGAAGCATGACAGTATGGCCCCCCCCCCTCATGGTAACACGGCTCCCCCCCTCCCAGGCTAAAGGTAAGAAGGGGGGGACATAACTTTTTTTTTTTATTATTAATAAAAAAATATATATTTAAAATAATTTCCCTAACAGCCCCCGACACACACAGCCCCTAGACACACAGCCCTCCCCCAGACACACACACAGCCCCGCCGACACAGCCCCAGACACACACAGCCCCCCAGACACACACACAGCCCCCAGACACACACACAGCACCCCAGACACACACAGCACCCAGACACACAGCACCCAGACACACACACACACAGCACCCCCAGACACACACACAGCAATCAACCCCAGACACACACACACACACAGCACCCCCCAGACACACAGCACCCAGACACACACAGCAGCACCCCCCTAGACACAGCACCCCAGACGACAATAGCAGCCCCAGACGACACAACACCCCTCACTCCCACACATATACAGCACACATATATATATATATAAAATAACCCCCAGTGAGTTAACAGACAAAGAAAATTAGAAACCTATTATGTGACGGCAGATAAAAACACCCTCACACACAGCACCCCTCTTACACACACACACACACAATATGTCCAAATATATATATATATATATATATATATATATATATATACACACACACACACACACTACAGCACCCCTCACACTGTACCACTACATACATTACGCTCCAGATACACACTAGATCCCTTACCCTATATGCACTCTTAATCCTCTACACACACACACACAATCTTCTATACACACTCTGGGTCCTTTACACACTAGATCTCTTACACACACACACTGCACCACCTACACACACACTACATTCCTTAGCAAACATACAACATTCTCTAAACACACTCCTCTTTCTAATAATAGTAGTGGCAGGTGTGTATAAGTGACACACTTACGCCACCCTATACACACACACACTACCGTCTGTGAGCACACACCTCGCTACATCCCCTATAACACTATGCCCTATACACGCGACTCTCACAGCCCCCTAGCCACACATATAATACCCACAAACACCTATTTACACAATACCACACCACACTCTACACACAAGCAATCCCACAAGCAGGTTTCAAACACATGCACCATACACTTTCCTGGCCCTTTTGTCCTCTGGTATCCCACTTGTTGAGACACCAGAGACAATTTAAAAGCAAACACAGTGCAAGCATGTTATTAAATTTGCTTGCGCTGCGCAGAACAAATACAGGGCCTTTTTCTAATGCCAGAGCTCTTCAGCGGGGCTCTGCGCATTGAACCAACATGCTCACTTTCAGAGGGGGTGTACTTGTCATTAGTGATGACAAACACACCCTCTCTGGCCCCGCCCCCTTTTTGGGGGGCCGCTCTAATTGAAAAATGCCCGGGCCTAATTTTTTTCCCAGTCCGGCCCTCAGATTTCACACACACACAATGCACCCCTTGCACACAGAAAAACACACACGTATTGAGACACAGACACACATACACAAGCAATGTGATCCTTACACACAGTAACACTCAATGCACCCCTTACACACACTCAATGCATCCTTTACAGACGCACACACTGCATCCCATACATACACAAACACACCTCGCAGCCCTTACACATACAAACACAGATTCACACAATGCATTCCTTACACACATCAGGACATCCCCTACACACTCCACCCCCTGTGAGCAAACTCATTGGTGGAACATGAAGGTGGACTCTGGGACCCAGACCTTGAGCTGTGTAAAGGGCCCCCAAAAATGGAGCTGCTTCCCGTTCTCCCAGAACATTGATTTTTGTGACCAAAGTTACAAACCGCCTCCAGAGAGCCTGTTCTACACCAGACCAGTGGAGCCAGACGGCAGCTAGAGCCCATCAGCATCCTCATCTGGTTGTAAGTAGGCAATCTAGTATATTGTTCGTGGCACTAATCTCTAATTTACCTCACATTAAAGGGACACTATAGTCCCCAGAACCACTGCAGCTTAGTGTAGTGGTTCTGGTGTCTATAGCCTGTCCCTACAGGCCTTTTAATGTAAACACGGTGGCACTGCAGCACTGGTGTTAGTTAACATGGCAGATCATATGGGTGGGGCATTATGATGTCACATAGGGGGGCGGCAAACTTTACTTTTGCCTAGGGCGTCAAAAATCCTTGCACCGGCCCTGTGGGCGGACTCGGGTGCAGGCACCGGGGGGCCCAGACCTTGAGCTGTGTCAGGGGCCCCAAAATTTCTGATGGCAGCCCTGCCACTCTGTGTCTGGTTGTGGGTATTTACCCTTCTATCTATGGTTGGTTGTTTCTCAGGATAACCCTCCTCCCCCCAGCACGGGATAACTTTTACTATATACAACGTGGGAGTATTGCAAGCGTAAGTCTGCGAGACCTATGAGTATCAGCGAAAGTTAGAGAGTTATGTTGTGCCTTTCTACTGCAGAAAGGGCATCTACGGGCTTGAGGGCAATTTTTTCTGTCCCCTCTCAACCAGGGGCGTTTTAGCCGCGAGGCATTTGCCTTGGGCGGCATTTTTCAAGGGACGGCAAAAAGGGCACTCCATGATGGGGTATCAGCCTCCCTCCATACCAGGGCCGGACTGGGGAAAAAATTTGGCCCGGGCATTTTTTATTCACAGCGGCCCACTGAAAAGGGGGCGGGGCCAGATAGGGTGTGTTTTGTCATCCCCAATGACAAGCATGTCCCATCGCAAAGTGAGCTTTTGGTTCAGTGCTCTTCCAGGGCATGAGAAAAGGGCCCTATATTTGTTCTGCACAGCGCAAGCAAATTTAATAACATGCTTGCGTTGTGTTTGCTTGAAACTTGTTTCCATAATTGTGATATTCACTGTATCCCATTTATGGAGACACTATGTGTTTGCTTACATGGAATCTAGTGTGTGCATAGGGGATCCAGAGTGTGTATGTAGGAAATGTAGTGTGTGTGTGTAGGTGGTGCAGCGTCTGTGTGTAGGGGATTTAGTGTGTTTGAAGGACTCAGGAGTGTGTATAGGAGATCTAGTGAGTGTGTGTGTGTGTGTGTGTGTATAGAGGATTCAGAGTGTATATAGAGATCTAGTGTGTAGATGATCCAGAGTTGGGTAAGGAATCTAGTATTTGTCTGGAATTTAATTTGTTTATGGGTGAAGTATGTGTGTGAGGGGTTCTGTATTATATATAAATATATGTTTGGAAGTATTGTGTGTGTGAGTGGTGCAGCGTGTTTGGGGGCTGCTGTGTGTATGTGTGAGGTGTGCAGTGTGTGTGTGTGAAGGGTGTATTGTGTATGTGTGAGGGGAGTAGTGTGCATTTGTGACGAGTATAGTTTGTGTGTGTGAGGGTGCTGTGTGAGGGTGCAGTATGTGTGTGTGTGAGGTGTGCAGTGTGTTAGGATGCTGTGTGAGGGTGATGTGTGTGTTAGGGTGCTGTGAGTGTTAGGGTGCTATGTGTTAGGGTGCTGTGCGAGGGTGATATGTGTGTGTGTGTGTGTTAGGGTGCTGTGTGTGTGTGTGTGTGTGTGTGTGAGTGATGGTGCTGTGTGTTAGGGTGCTGTGTGTGTTAGGGGGATGTAGAAAACATCAGGGTGATGTAGAAAATTTGCTCCATTTGCTCCATACACTTGCTATTAGTGTGACGGCTGCTATCAGGATATGGAACACTAGGGTGGAGTCATCGTGTTTGAAATCCTTTAGTCCCATAAATAGAAGTCCGTGTTAGGATTTAAGGGTAAAGTACATTTTTACTAGGTCTGTTATCAGTTCCTCCACTTTATTCCAGTATGGTCGGAGGTGCGTGCACGTCCACCAAATGTGGTGCATTGTACACCTGGCTGTTCCACATCTCCAACATCTGTTGGTAGTTCCGGGGTAAATGCGTGCCAGCCTTTCAGGCACCATGTACCATCTGTAGCCTATTTTCCTGATTTGTTCTACGTATGTGGAGGGACACCACATTCTTTGGAGTGTCGTGGGCCAGACATATTTTTTCGAAGGGAGTTATGGTACCCGGTGGGTCGTTAATCTGCGTTTGGTTGTGCAATATCGATTTAATTTGTAGATAAGGAAAGATTGCTCTTTGTGGGAGATTAAATTTAGTTACAAAGTCTGGCAATTGTAACAATGACCCCTTAGAGTACAATTGTTGAATGTGGTTACATCCTCCCTTGCCCCAAACGGTGGTCAAATGTTGCTACCTGTACACTATAAATGGGCATTGCGGGTGACCAGGGTGCGCTAGAGCACATCCAATGGCGAACGGAGTCCCAGGTTTTAAGTAACAAGTCTGTGCTTGGCAATATTGATTCCAGCTTCAGTCTTTGCTGCTTGGGTATCTAGAACAACTATTTCAGTTCTGTTCATCGTGCCCAGTGAGACTCTATCTCCACCCATTGTGGTGGTCACTGCTCATCATGGGTCGTCAGAATAGATGACAATATAGCTGCCCTGTAGTATAGTCGGATGTTGGGTAAACCCAGCCCTCCTTCATCAACCGGGCATTGTAAAATTTTGGTTCGCTACTCTAATTCTCTTTTTGGCACAGATAAATTGTACTATCTGCCTCTGCACATTGTCTAGGAAGGTCATAGGTAGTTTAATTTGTAAGGTCCTGAAGAGGTATTGGAGTTTTAGCCACTTTTTCACTGCTGCATTTCTGCCTCTCCATGTCAAGTATTTGCCTCATAGTTTCGTAATGTGATAGTCAGCTCTGTTTTTAATGCTTCATAATTAGACTGGTATAGATTATCAAAATTTTTTGTAATTTTTATTCCCAGGAAGGTGACGTAGTCATCCCTCCAGTCCAGGGTGAAGGTTTCCTTTAGGACTTTTAGTGTGTCCGCTTTCATTCCCATCCCCATGGCCTGGGTTTTTAGCACATTAAATTTATAATATGAATTTTCTCCATAAACCGCAATTTCGTTTAGGAGATTAGGGAAGGATATTTGGGGGTGTGTTAGGGTTAGCAATACGTCGTTGGCAATAAGGTTAGCTTCATATTCTTTGCCTCCCATTTGGATACCCCGTATGCGGTGTGTCAGTGGCTCTAATGCCATTACGTACAACAGTGGTCAAACCGGACATCCCTGCCTCGTCCCATTGGTTATTTGGAGTGGTTCTGAGAGAAACCCGGTGTTCAGTACCTGGGCCTATAGTGCCTGTACTGCTGAGAGAAACACACCCGGGATTTGGAATCTGCACATGACCGCCCCCAAGAATTTCCAATGCAGGGGGTTAAACGCCTTCTCCACGTCCAGGGATACAAGGAGTCCTCCCCCTATCTTAAGCTGGTTAAGGCTATACATTATGTCCAGAACTTTGCGTGTGTTTTCCGGTCCTTGTCTCCCAGCCACGAAGCCCACCTGATCAGTATGGATTATGTAAGGCACGAGGGCCCCTAGTCTAGCCAGTAGTTTTGCAAAGATTTTGGCATCTGTGTTTAGCAATGATATGGGTCTAAAATTTTGGGGGTGGGTAGGGGTTTGCCTGGCTTAGGTAAGGTTATGATATGTGCCGCAAGCATGTCTTTGTGTAGTGTCTGGTTCATGTTTGCATCTCTAAAGGTTTTTACGAGATGTAGGGTCAGGATAGTAGTAAAGGTCTTGTAATACAGGTTGTCAAACCCATCTGGCCAGGGCGATTTGCCTAGAGGAAGGGTTTTAATTGCAGCTGCGACCTCGTCCTCTGTGATTTAATTGGTGAGTGTTGCACATTGTTGCGGTGTTAGTTTAGAAAGGTCTACCATGTCCAGATAAGCGTCAATGGTGTCTGTGAGCAGTTGATGCGTGTTTGGGTCGTCTTTTAGGTTGTAGAGGTTGGTGTAATAATGAGCAAACTCATCACTAATCTCTTTGGGAATCATGATTTTCCCCCCAGTGTTTGATACTAGGTACGCTATTTTTTGTTGTACTTGTTTGGCCTTGAGGTTATGCGCAAGTACTCTGCCAGCTTTGTTTCCCTGGGCAAAGGAGGTGGCCCTGAGTTCTCATAGGTAGAGCCCTGTTTTATCTAAGGCATGCTGATGCAGATTCCTAGTTACTTGGGCAATTTTAGATTTTAAGTCTTGTGATGGGTTAATCTGGTTTTGGGCGTTCAGGTGGTAAAGTTCCTTCTGCCACTTTAAGAATTCCCCTAGCTACAGCTTTGTGCACAGCCCATATAGTGCTGGGGGAGATACCCAGTGTGTCATTCTCTGTAAAGTAGTGTTGGAGTGCGCTCCTCAGGTTGTGTATAAAAGTTGTGTCATGTAACATTGTGGATTGTATTCTCCAGGGGCTTCGGTGCTTAAAGTCATATTGGTCTTTTAGTTCCAGCGTAACCAGCACGTGGTCCGACCATGTTATGTCTCCTAAGTCACACTTCACTACTTGAGACAGGGCTGTCCCGTGCATTAAGAACCTGTCTATCCTTGAATATGAATTGTGCACTGGGGAGAAGTGAGTGTAAGCGCATTCGCCCATATGTGCAATTCTCCAAATGTCATACATGTGGTGGAAGAAAAGGAGTTTTTGTAACTGTTTACATTGTTTCTTAAGGGTTCTAAATCTGTTGCTATGTCTAGATAAAGTTGTGTCAACAGTGGGATCAAGGACTTGGTTAAAGTTCCCACATATGACCGTTATCCCCTGCTGTATGCGTGACAGTTTTTGTAGTATGCTACGTAAGACGTTTTTTCTGGCTGTTGTTTGGTGCGTAGATGTTAGCAATTGTGTAGAGCATGTTGTTGAAGAGACCTGTGATTATGACGTATCGTCCCTGGTCATCTATATCTTCCACCTGTAATGTGAAGGCTATAGAATTGCTGATCAGGATTAATGCCCCTTTTGATTTTGTGGGTGCAGTAGAATGAAACTGCCAGGGGTATCATGTCTGCAGCGTGTTGGGGTGGTTATTTGTCCTGTAGTGTGTCTCTTGCAGGCACACCACATCAGCCCTCTCTGGTATGAGTTCCCTCCCCAATAAATTCCTTTTTACTGGGATATTTAATCCCTTAATGTTCAGTGAACATATTTTTTCATGGGGGGTCGTATGAGAGATGTGCACAGTGGTAGCATGGGCGTGAATTTACCTTATATGGGAGGCTCACTCATCCCAGATCTTTCGAATCGAGTGTACTGCCCCTAGAAGAGGGCGTGTGGTGAGTTCGCTGTATACGGTCCACGGTCTCAGGATCCGCATTTGCATAGTCAGCACTTTCCGAGCACGATAGCTGACCGCTCTGTGGCCTCCCACATGGCCATGAAAATTAACAGTTAAACCTTGAGTGATACAGAAAAGCAACAAAAACAATAGAAAAACAAAAAACTGAACTGCCTGGTTGGTGGCTGGGAACTGTGGAGTGGTGCCCCAGGGGCAGAAGAACATGGCTTCTTCCTAGAAGAACAGAATACTCTGCACAGTGGCCAAGATAATCTTGGTATTAATATTTTAGGCTCATCATTTCATGTTAAGGAGGCATTAGCCTTACTGACTGGCATTGAGCACAACAAGACCCAGTTGGCTAGTTATGCTTTATAAAAATAAAAAAAAATAAAAAAGATTTTTTGGTAATTCCCTGTATCCTCTATCCCTTACTAGTTGAGCCACAGTGCTCTGGGTGCTTAATTCCCATAAAATAATCTGGGGAAGGGGAGGCGGTTTGTAGTACCAGGTCAGGCCCCTCGCTACCCATAGAACACTCCAGCATAAGGGTTACATCAAAAATACTTGCTGTTGTCGTTTAGCCCACTACAGTCTGTGTGTAGGCCAGTGCCAGTAAGCGGTATCAATGTCTTTTCGTTTTCTTCCACTCTGGAGATAGTCTTCCTATCTGCAATGAATGGTTCGGGGTGTGTCGGTTTTCCAGTCCCCAGTGGATCACACTAGTCTTCCCATTTCTGTTGAGCAGTAGCTTTACAGGAAAACCCCATCTATAGGCTAGGTGGTGTGATCTTAGCGTTGTTGTGATGGTCCTGGAAGTCCCTTTGGCATTCCAGTGTGGCTGCAGAGATATCAGAAAACAGTAAAATGCCATTATAGGGTTCCGGCAGGGTCTTTCTGGTCCTGCTTGCTTTCAGGATCGCCTCCTTAGCTTAGTAGTAGTGCATACGCAGCAGCACATCGCGAGGCATTTCGGGTGGGAGAAACCTGGGCCTTGCCGTTCGGTGTGCTCTATCCAGCAGGAGTATGTCATGAGACAGGTCCCGTGCCAGGGATTGCAGGAGCCTGTGATGTAAGTTGCAAGGTCAGCCGGAGTGACTGCTTCAGCCAACCCGCTGATGTTGTTACGGCTTCCTATGACCTCCAGGCTGCCATCTGAGCCTCATGCGAGTCTATTTTGGCAAGGAGGCTTTCCACCTTCCCTGCGAGGTCATTATGCGCTTCGGCCATTTCCGCCGTCTTGTCTTCCACCGCGGATGTCCTGTTGCCAAGCTCGTCGACGTCTCTTTTGAAGTCTCCAATGGCAGTTTGCAGGGTATTCAGCAGTTTGGTGGACATTGCATCCAATGCACACCGCTTGAGTGAGCGTGGCCGCCGGTTCCGGAGTCGGCTGTGGCTGATCAGATTGCGCCATCTTGGTCGAGTACCTGGGCCTACTGAGACTTGGTCTGACCCACTCGAGAAGCAAAAAAACAGGATTTTTCGGTCCTGTCTTCATGTCTCTTGTTTTTGGGTTGGGACATGGTCCTTTTTAGTTTGGTAGGTAGAGCCTAATTGAATTTTTGTGGCCTGTTCATCACGGATCACTCAAATCATGCATCTGCTCTGTTCAGAGTCTAGGACACGGCCCCCCTCCAAATTCCATTTTGACTGTTTTGGCCTTCATTTTCCAATTTGGTTATTGGTTTATCAAAACTTAGTTTTTTTGTGAACAAACAACCTTGGCAATAATGGGGAAGTCCTCAGACTTAAACCCAAAAGGAAAACAATGACCCCCTACACAAACAGACAGTTGGGGATATCCTGTGAGATTTCCCTGCCTTTTTTTGCAGTGTCCCATTCTCTCTACTCATGAGCAGCATACTGCTGAAGCTCTCCATGATCTCTGAGAAGCAGCTGCTTAATGTAAAATAAAAAATAAAAAATACTAATATCTTTTTGTACTAGCTGTGGAGATCAGGGGATAAAAAACCACACATCCTTTTGACAGCAAAGACAGGTGGCAGCCATGTTAATTCATATAACTGAGGTGAATTATGAATTACTATGACCCAGAGTTCCCTGTACACATTAAAACTTTATATTAGAGTCCAGATACTCACTTCCTGTTGATTGGTAAAGCTTCTGAAATGGAATTCTACTTATAGGAAAGCAGACACAGGATGGTATTATATGGGTAAAGGGAAATCCTTGCAAGAGGCAAGCTTTTGTGTTTATATGAGTTTCTCAGAATTCTATAGAAACTCTTTGAACCTCCACAAAAGATTCCAATCACATTTCACAGAATGTCAAAATCTAGATATGCTGAGCACTGTAAATGAGGACAACTGCTTAAATAAAAAGATTTAAGTTGATCTATTGAAAATTAATGAAAAATTGCAGTCAATTAGACAGATGTGTGTTTCTTTCATGTCATCAGGTACCGTGTTTCCTGTTCTTATTAACAGAAGCTCCAGACAGCATCCATTAAGTCTATAAAGAACACAAAAATCTCTTATAGATATAAAGTAAGGTGATAAAACTGTATAACCGTGCGTAGCAGTGTGGCCTACCCTGCTGCTTTTGGATGTGCAGATTTTATGCTCACAAAGGGAAGAGGTCTAATGAGGATTAAGCCAAAGCAGGACTTGTGTATGACGAAGAAAATTGGTTCATCCAAATTTATCTGTTAAAAATAAAATTGGTTGGGGATTCGGGATTCATCCATGTGGCGTTTAATGAATTTTATTAATGCAATTGTTTCGGTAAAAACGAATCAGAGGAACCAAGATGGCACAAAAATTGGCGAGTTTGTGTACTCCCGTGTATTGTACTGTAAGATTTACAATACACAATGTCTCCTTGTTTATTATAGTTTGTCAATAGTTGCCTTGCCTTTCATAATACCAGATATTTACATTGCTAAATAACTGCCTGTTAATTGTTATTTGAAGTCAGTAACAGATCAAAGAAAGTACTATTCCAAGCCATGTCTCAGCATTTTAAATGCTTCTTGTCCATTGAGATCAGTAGTTCCCAAGCCAGTCCTCATGGCCCAGTAATAATCTAATAATCTTTCAGTATTTCCATTTTCTATTCCAATGACGATAGTGCCAAAACCTGGAATGTTGCAGGGCCATGAGAACTGGTTTAATAAGCACTGATTTGGATGGACACTGTACTGTCACAGCATTTTACATTCTGTCAAGTTTACTGTACCCTAATCTGACTTTGATCAAGCTCATTGGATGTGTAATTCATTAGCAGCTCTAGCAATATCAATATCCAAGTTCTCAGCTCGTGGATCAAGAAACACAGTTCTACTACTAAAGCATGGATCCTTTCCCTTGAATCAAATACCTGATTCCACTGTGTTGAGCCTCATTTCTTAAACTTAAATAAAGGCTGGGCCTATGTATCTGATAACATAGATAAAATAGTTTTACATTATATAAACCTTGAGATCGTTAAATATAAGCCTTATAAATAAGGGAGAGTAAATGCAGATTATATATCTCTGTTTAGCACTCACAAGATGAACATTTTTTTTTTTAAACTAAACAGTGATTTGTGATGAGATGTAAATGCTTTGAAATATAGAGCCCAATAAACAAGTTGGAAATAACCATTTGCATTCTGTTTCAAACTTATTGGGATATATCTGAATTTGAGAGATTGGCGATTTATCCGAATTCCCAAACTCTGAATCACTAAATGGAAGAATCATGAAAGAACCAAAATGGACAAATGCTGAAAAGTTTTGTTTGATTTGTGATTTTGAATTCCATCATTGGTACCAAAAAAAAAAAGATGATTGATGGAAAAAAAGATGATTGAGAGTTACAGGACAGCCACTAAATGTTTTATTTTATTTATAGATCATGTGAAAAGTAGCCAATAGAGGTAATGAGGAGGAGCAGTAAAAATAAAATCTTTATTTATATTTTGTCTAAATATATATACATTTTTTTATACTGTTCTTCCATTTTTCCCTCTAGTGGTTACTTCTTTTAACTTGATCTGAGAACCAAATGGTGGGAAAATGTGCCTCTCAGTGTACCACAAAATATATTCATAAATCACTATAAAAGGCATCATGGAAATAGCCAGATGGAGACACCCCAAGCTATTTTTCAAAAATGATAAAAAAAAATACGGAATATGTCGAAGGCATGCTATAGGCACAGGATTGATACAAAATGTATTCCACATTTGCCATCAATCCTACATCACTGAAGTATATACAACTGTGCATATAAATATAAAATATGGCAAACAGTTGGCTGGTTACATTTATCCAGGAAGAGAAGGGGGTGTGGTGGGGTTGTTCCCCAAGGTTACTTAGGTTGATTATCTATTATAGAAATAATTTTATGGAGGTGGGGAGGATCCATTGGGACCCGATGTTGACTGTCTGTCAGTAGCGTTGTCAGTAGCACTGCATACCAACTATCCTATGGAGTGAAGCTCCTCCTTCTTTGTGTACCAGGTATGTGAAAAGGAGGTATATTGGTTGTTTCCTGAACAGGGATATTTGGTGCTTAGCTAAATTAAGGATTCTGATAGTAATTGATGGTTTTCTGAAGCTCTTCATATGGTGGGTGGCATTAGAGAACATGATGATTTCATGTATAAACCTTCAGTATCCCTGACTAATATGTCATTCCAACCAAATGTAGAGCAGGTATCTTGAAGCAACAGTTATCATCTTGAGTTGGAAAAACGTTCTTTACAAACGGTATGCTATGATGTGGGTATGGTGCATTTGCGAGCTAACACCACTCAAAATTGACACAGACATTATATTAGCCTGGTTATCTAATTTCTCAGTATTATGTACATTACACATTTGTTGATGAAACTATAGTTATGAAAACATTAGCTGGCATGCCTGCAGTTTGACCCTATAACTTTGTTAAATTCTGTCAAAAGTCAACACAGAGTGGGTGTCTGTACTCAGGGGCAGTAGTAAAATAAAAATCTAGGCTCTTCATGGTAGTGGGATTCAGTCTGTGAAATCTCTTGTGAAAATGAAAAATGCGAAAAAACAAAAATAATATGACCAGCATTTTGGCAGAGGTTGATGATAACTTAGTGTACCGTATATAATCAAGTATAAGTCGACCCGAATATAAGTCGAGACCCCTAATTTTACCCCCAAAAACTGGAAAAACGTATTGACTCGAGTATAAGACTAGGATGGGGAATGCAGCAGCTACTGGTAAATTTCTAAATAAAATTATATCCCCAAAAAATTATATTATTTGAATATTTATTTACAGTGTGTGTATATAATGAATGCAGTGTGTGTGTGTGTATGTGTGTATGAATGCAGTGTGTGTGTGTGTGTATGAATGCAGTGTGTGTGTATGAATACAGTGTGTGTGTGTATGAGTGCAGTGTGTGTGTGCATGAGTGCAGTGTGTGTGTGTATGAGTGCAGTGTGTGTATGAATGCAGTGTATGAATGCAGTGTGTGTGTGTGTGTATGAATGCAGTGTGTGTGTATGAATGCAGTGTGTGTATGAATGCAGTGTTTGTGTGTATGAATGCAGTGTGTGTGATGCAAAGTGTGTTTGTGTATGTGATGCAGAGCCTTGGTGGGGGGTGGGCATTTTTATTACTTTTTTAAATTATTATTATTTTTTTATTTATTTATATTATTAATATATATTTTTAAAATATTATTTAATTTTGTATTTATATTTTTTTCGTCCCCCCTCCCTGCTTGTTAGCTGGCCATGGAGGGGGGCTCTCATTCCCTGGTGGTCCGGTGGATGGGCTGTGTAGGAGGGGGGCTGGCAGGAAGCTGGAACTTACCTTTCCTGCAGCTCCTGTCAGCTCCCTTCTCTCTCCTCCGTTCCGGTCAGCTCCACTGTCAGTCTTGCGGTGTGAGTGCCGCGCGTTGCCACGGTAACCCGTGGCAACGCTCTGACCCCGCGGCTCTCGCAAGACTTGCAATGGAGCTGACAGGGGAGCTGACCGGACCGGAGGAGAGAGAAGGGAGCTGACAGGAGCTGCAGGAAAGGTAAGTTACAGCTCTCTGCCAGCCCCCAACAGGACCGCCGGGCTTGTAATGAGCCCGCCTTTCCTAGTCTGTATTATGACAATGTAAGTTGCCATAATACAGACATTGACTTGAGTATAAGATGAGTGGGGGGTTTTCAGCACAAAAAATGTGCTGAAAAACTCGTCTTATACTCGAGTATATACGGTAATTAAAATCTGTACAAGTGTTCTTAAATAAATACTCTGGAGGTTTGGATTATCTGACTGCTTTTAGTCTCATAAATAAATTTTGCAAAGGTATATATTTTAATTGTAGTTCACTTCATGAAATGTTTGTCCTTATATTGCTTGAAAGCAGACTCTATTAAGTAGACTCTTTCAAGTAGGAGTTAGAAACTCTTTCAAGTAGGAGTTCATTGGAGAGTGGTTTGTATTTTATTTTTGTTTAACCCCTTAAGACCGGAGGGCGTACTATTACGCCCTATTATAGGTGGCTATAAACGCCGCCGGGCGTAATAGTACGCCCTCCGGTCTTTCTGTACTTACCCAGTCGCCGGCGATCCCACGCCGGCGATCGCAGTTGGGGGGACTCCCAGGGAGCCCACCGCGGCATGTCCGACCCCCTGGAAGCCCCTCCGGCCATGTGAGAGTGAGGTCCTTGCGAGGACCTCACAATCACATGGCCGGGTAGGCTGCCTGCTGCATTGCCAGCAGGGGGGCTGCCTGTAATGACAGGTGGTCCCCCTGCTGGCTGGAAATAAAATTAATAAAAGTTTATAAGTGTAAAAAAAATATATATATACTTAGATCATATATATATGTTATATATATATATGATCTAAGTATATATACACACATATACATACACACACATATACTGTCTCGGTGTATTTATACTATTAATATATATATATAACTATATATATATTAATATCAAATTACACGTAGCCTGATACTGATTAAATATATATATAATTATTGTTATATATATATATTTATAATATAAAATAATTAAATATGTAAATACGTTAAAAAATAAAATTTAAAAATAATTAAAAAATATATAGATGTGTGTTATTTCGTTCTAACAGTATTGTGATATTAATATATATATATATTTATATCAAAATACATGTAGAATGAAATAATATATATATATCTACATACATAAATATATACGTATATATCACTATATATATATACCTATATATAAATAAAAATATTTAAAAAAATTATATATATATACACATATAGATTCACATACGTATATATATATATATACATATATTAATTCTACATATATATTTATGTAATATTTTTACATAATTAGGTATCTTAATTAATTACAATTAGCGGGACCTGCCTGACAACCCATGCCGAAAGTAAAGGGAATTTAATTTGCTAGCACTATATTTAACCCTATAACTTTCCAAGACACCATAAAACCTGTACATGGGGGGTACTGTTCTACTCGGGAGACTTCGCTGAACACAAATATTAGTGTTTCAAAACAGTAAAATGTATTACAACGATGATATCGCCAGTAAAAGTGACGCTTTTTGCATTTTTCACGCACAAACAGCACTTACACGGACAATATTATTGCTGCGATACTTTTTACTGTTTTGAAACACAAATATTTGTGTTCACGAAGTCTCCCGAGTACAACAGTACCCCTCATGTACAGGTTTTATGGTGTTTTCAAAAGTTACAGCGTCAAATATAAGGCTTGAGTTTCATTTTTTTCACATTAAAATTCGGATGTGGAATTCTCTGCCTGAAGAAGTGGTTTTATCAGAGTCCATGCAAATTTTCAAACAGCAACTAGATGCATACTTGCAAAAAACAGAATATTCAGGGATATAATTTTTCAATGTAGGGTAATAGCTTCTTGATCCATGGATAAATCTGGCTGCCATTCTGGAGTCAAGAAGGATTTTTTTTGCTAGTTTGTTGCAAAATTGGAAGTGCTTCAAACTGGGTATCTTCCCCTTCTTTTGGATCAACAGCAAAAAAAAACAAATGTCAGAAAGGCAGAAATTGATGGATGCAAGTCCCTTTTCAGGTATGTAACTATGTAACTTAAAAGAACAAAGTGAAGTACTGGACATTTGAGGCATTTTAACAATCTGAAATATTAAGTACATCTATTTTTAGTTATTTTTTTATTTCCAAAATTAAAAACAGAGTGAAAATGGTGCTAAACTGGTGCTAAAAGGCGCTGCTACACATCATCCAGTGTCAGGTCACTCAACATGACACAAAATAAAGCGCAATAATATAACCAATTAAATTAAAGGGACAGCACAAACATAAATATTGCCATCAATAAGGAATACAGCAGGAGCTATAACAAAACCACAAAAATACAACTTCTGCATATTGTATAAGCATAAATATAAATGTATTGGTGTATTCTGCTGCGTTGTGACATGTGCTCTGAATTAGGTTCCTCTTAACTACACCTATGCTCTGTGTGCTAGATTGAAACGTTTGTAGTTTTTTGTTTTATTTTAGAAATAACACATTTGTCTTTTTTGCAATCCTCCAGATGCTCTTACCTCTAGTGTTCATCAGAAGGGGTCATTTGGAGAACTCACTGCTC